TACCCGATCCTTTGGGTGAGATATTTACTGGTCATTGATAATTTAGATGAGGGGTGTACGTGCAGGTGAGTTGTCAACATCAAGGGCGGGCACAGGCAGGGGCTGCTTTCCAGCAGTGGCAAGATGATGAGTCTAGTTCTGAGCGGTCAATTCTCACCAGCGGCACGACAGCATTCAAGTGGAGCTGGAAACGACGCCATGTAGTGGTTCGTTTGATTTTAAGGAACGTGGCAATCTCCACCAAGGCAGGCCCCGACATAATACGATAGGAGCGGCTACACCCATGGCCCGCCACTGAACACATGGCGCACAAGCACTCAGTTGGTCCATCTACGGAGATGCTGTCGTCCCAAGTTGGAAGGTTACTCGCCACAGCCTTCCAGCGTGGGGTGCCTGCGATACAGGCAACCGAGCTCCACACAAACTCGCCATCGGTGGCGTCGGCGATGCATCCGGCGCACCCGACGGGCCGCCCTCCTGCGCTCACCAATCCCGCTAGCGGCCGTCGAGCTGTTACAGCGGCGTCGTCTTGCTGGCCCTGTTCAAATTTCGCTGGTGCGGTGTGACTTCTGGGCACAATCGCCTCGTTTCAACCCTGCTGCGCGCCCGCACGGCTGTGTACAGCGGCTGCGCCGACCCTGGTAAATTGGTGGCTCAAGTCGAAGCAGTGTGTGTTCTTAAGTTCTGGAGCGGCGTGTCGAGGCAGTGCGATCATGATCATTCTCGACACTCTCACCGGGTCGCCTAGGTATCACGAGCACTTGACGCAGGCAATTCTTGGTCTGGCTTCTACGACAGTCGGAAACGTCATAAACATGTTCGAATGCTTCAGATTTCTCACTTATTCTGTCTCGGTTGTCTTATCTTGCCTGGTTAACAATGTAGCCAGCGACGGGGTAGCCCGCAAGACACCATCGTTCCTGGTCATTGGCGAGATGGGAGTCGGGAAGACAGGCCTGATCAACATTCTTGTGAACGAAGAACCCAATCTCACTGTAAGTTACCCGTGTTACTGTCAAGTATGCCTGCTAACATATTCCAGTATATGCCGACGGTTGAGATGGAACATTACGAGCCCCCAAGACAGCATTACCGTCTGACCGAAGTACCGGGTCACTTTTGCGAATCTGAAAGACTACAGGCACAGCTTTTCTCCGACTACGATCTCGTGATTTTCGTCTTCCGTATCGACAAGAAGTTGACAAGGCTACATTACCGCAAATTTTGGACATCGGCTCTTCCCATGCCAGTTGTTGTCGTTGGCGTTTCAACCGACAAGACGGACGAGAACACCGGCGAGAGCCTCCAATATACACTGGCATGTGGTACTTGGTGCAATTATTTCCCTGTCGTAATGAATGACCCAAGGAGTTTCCGGAAGCTTTCCTCATTCCTGGACAGCCAAGCCTTCAGACTCTCTAGGCAACATCGCAAGTAGCCATGGGTACAGGGGCATAGAGCCTGCGTAGTTACGTTCGTGGTTTCAGGATCAGCGGCGAGGGTACAGGAACGTTTGGTTGCCATCTCGGCTACTGGTTCGACTCTGCTGCAGGTCGTCCAGGCTTAAGAGCAAGTCGATGGTCCAATTCCACACTTGACGTTTGTCACACGGTTGGACACGTCGGTGTTGCTAATAGTATGGCAATAAAACAATGCTTCGTCGTCGTGGAAGGTGGGTGAAACGGTCTGTCATTGAGACCATCGATCTCGCCGCCAGCTTAACCACATCAGTGGCTCATATCACACATCCCGCACGACAGCTCCCATAGTCAATCCGGCGCCGAGCATAATGTCGCCCAACCTCCGACGTAGCACAATTCAAGGCAGCGGCTCGGCCATCCTCACCAATGCTTGCCCGCTCTCCCGACATCGTCAGATTACGCTTGGTTTGACCTGCAGGCTGCGCCGACGCCGCCGCCAGAGCCCCTGTGGTTTTGCCGTCCTCCTACAGCGGCTTGACACGCACCTGCATGACGCCAGATGCCTCAACCGTCCCAAGGTCCCGCGAAAAAACATCCCTCGACACCACATTATCGAGCATACATGAACAGTGGCTGGTCACAAGAAGTAGCAGGGGTAATTGGTAACGGGCCACATTCAGTCAATTGGTAACCAACAAAACCCAAATCTTGGGACGGGACCCGTTCCGATGAGCCAAAATTTCGGGATGAAAACCCCGAGGTGAATATTGGCTCAGAACTTGGCACGGGCCGGGTCCAGAACTCAATGATACAGGGCTTTGACCTTGATCAAAACCACTACTCACTACGGAATGTAAGCCTTCGACGAACGGGGTCCTTAATCCAACAAAAAATCTTGGAGTCTTTCTACGGACTGGAGTTCCGTTCGGGAAAGGGTCCAACAGCCACACTGCAGTCCGTCTAAAGTCCAGCTTCCCCTCCAGGCTCTCTCTTCATGGGGCTCGAAGTGATGCCGAGCCCAAAATCTTGAACATCCAAAGTCCTGAACCCAAACCGCCTGTACAATGCCTTCCCATCGGGCTGTGCGTTCAAGTACGCCATCCACCCATCTTCATCCACCCTAGTCAGTCCGAAGCGCATCAACTCTCCACCGATGCCCCTGCGCTGATGGCTCTTGCGCACAGCAATGGTGCTGAGGGCCCAAAATGGGCGACCCTCGGTATATCGCCTAGTAGCTTCAGAGGTTGCCGTTAAGAATCGCACCGCGAGTCCTGGGTCGCCTGTTTGTGGAAACATATCCTCGTTCAAGATGGGCGGCGCGGACTCAGTCCCCGGGCCAGCCACTGGCCGACGTATCCAGCGCGCCCATCCAGCGACGACAGTTGCTCCGGATGACTTGTCTTCGGCGACAACTAAGTGACACTCTGTATCCGTGAAGTCACTCCCTATGTATATTGCCGTTCCATTCGCGGATTCTGGGTCAGAAGGCGGAAAGCAGCGGCTGTGCCATTTCCCGTCGGATTAGTATTATACGTATTATCGAAGCTCATTATTTTAGGAAAGCATTTCCATATCTAAACGTAGTATAGGAAGGTCTAAATTAAGCTAACGAGGCGATCCGGCTCTATCGTAGACCACTTAACGACATATAGGATGCTCTACCCGTCGAAGAGTCTGATTAAAGCGGCTATAGGGCTCAATCCGCCTAACTTCTTTCGACGCAAGCGGGCTCTCGCATTATATATATCCTTCCTAGTGCAGAGCGTATCGAGGTATTTTTCTTTAACGATACTACATATATCGAAAGCCCTAATCCCGACGCGCTCGCTTATCACCTCAATTATTATCATGACGACCTCGTCTAGCCTCTGATATATAGGGTGGGCCGCGAAACTTATGCTGCGGTCGTGGTTATATCAGCTATATTGCGGATCGGCGAAACTTCGCAGCGTCCACATATATTCGTTTTGTTCTAGTGCTTCTGCGATAACCTTCCATTTGCAGCCACACGTAGTTCCTGAAGCCACTGGGCTGCATTCTCGTACGTTTAGCGGTCGGTGATATCATATACGAGCAACGCAACTACGGCATCAGAATAGCACGTTATGGGTGCACGGTATTTTTCCTTCCCTGCGGTGTCCCAAATATGCGCCTTGATCGATTTGGAGCCAAGTTGCATCAGTCTGGTACCGAAATTGACCCCGACTGTTGGCTTGGAGTCCTGGTCGAACTCATTTCGCATATATTGCCCGAAAATATTGGACTTTCCAACCCCAGAATCTCCAACGAGTACAACTGGGGCACCAACAGGTTAGCACAGATGGTCGTTGTGTCGGCCGAAGATTGGGATTAACCGTGAGCGGCCAGTACCTCTCTTGGGGAGCTAGCGGAGAAGATATATGTCCCTGAGCATTAGCAACATGAATCAAAAAAGTGGAGAGTGTGCTAACCAACAAGCGATACTCGTCGCTGGGCATAGAGGTGGCTGGCTAGAGGAGTTCCGTTATATTGGCAAGGGCATGAATCTGCGGTATCAACGAGGGTTAGGTGGAAGATCGCATGCAGATCTTGCTCGTGGCTTGGATATGTCCTCTGACAGAAACATACTTGTACTTATCGAAATGCAGAAAGCTTGAGGCATTTGTGGCGCTGATCTGATGACACCAAAATGTAGGGTGCACCCGATAATAAATGGGAATCCAGCGGGAAACGTAGGGACGAGAGTAAAGGATAATTTTGCTGGCCCCTTGCGGCGGCCCTGGCTTACGTGTGACGGGGGTTGGCCATTGGACATGCCACACACTAATGACGCACGATCCAGATGTGCCTGACAAGCTTAACCCGCCGATAAAACGTCTCCCTTGCTTCGTAGGTAACCCTAATCCTCGCTATAAGCTAATAAGACACAATCTCCTGCCTTGTGCAATTTTCCCGGGAAATCCCTAGGGAAACAAATTCCGTCTCGAACCTTCCCCTATAAATGACTTCAGGAGTCGTGTCGCTGCAGATTTCGGAGCAACAACGCCGTCACAAATGTCACATTCACTAATGGCCATCGAGATCAGCTGCAGCAGCGCACTCAACAATTGACCGGCCTACGCGGCCCCATTCGCGGTACAGTATTAGCGCATAGCTCCCCAGAACGTTTCAGACCTCGGCACTTTGTGGGACTCCGAGCCCCGAGCACCCACGAGAGGTCGGACGCCGAGTCAGGCAGTCAGTCTGCCAACAAAACCACACTAGATCCTTCTCAAGAGCTCGCAGATGGCTAGCGTGAGTCATCCCGCAAGCCTTTAATTAGGATCCACAGCTCGGCTAGCCATTTTGTGCCGAGATCCGATGCACGCAACTGGGTGAGGAATACTGCGATGCTGTATTAATGTCGTCACGTTGCCATACATCACATAGGAATTGCTGCGAAGGCGAGGATGTGTCTGCGGTATTTATTGTCTGGTCTCATCATCGTGCCTGTTTGCTTGCTTCTCCGACAATACTCTCTTCTACAACAGTACTAGCTGGAACGCGGTGGCGGCTCTTACTTAGTCCCCCCTACCAAAGTCATCCAGACGCATCTCCAACATGTCGCAACCCCTACCTTCATACACAAAAGTCCTGCATAATGCGACATACGACGCCATCAATCCCCGCCTACCGGCGCTCTCAACCGCTGGAAAGGTCGTCCTAATCACCGGCGCATCCGGCGGGATCGGACGGGCCACTACCTCCTCCTTTGCTGCCTCTGGCCCGAAGGCGCTCGTACTGCTCGGCCGCAACCTTGACGCGCTCTCCGACACGGCAGCTCAAGTCGCAGCCGCCGACGCAGCCGCCGACTCAAGCCGTCCCATCGTGCGAACGCACGCCGTCGATTTGTGTGACGCCGCTAGGCTAAGTGATATCATGGCCTCCGTTGCCGATGAATTCGGCGGTATTGATATACTCGTTCACTGCGCCGGCCACCTGCCGCCCATTGCGCCGCTCCTTTCCGTTGATCCGGCCAACTTCCTGAAAGGTTTCGAGACGACCGTCACGGGTACGCTTGCCGTCGCGCAGGCCGTCCTCCTGGCAAACGGAGCGTCGCCCAGTCACGAGGATACGAGGAAAGATGCGCCAGCACCCAGCACGGATCGCACACCGAAGCCTGTCACATTCATCAACCTGACATCTGCTGGTGCCTTATTCCCCTCATTCCGGGGAATGGGCACCTACGTGACCTGCAAGCTTGCGGCGATTAAGCTCCTGCAGGCAATGGCGACAGAGAATCCTCAGATGCATGTCGTTAACGTCCATCCTGGGTTTTTGAGAACCAACATGTCAGCGCAATTAGAGAAGGACGTGACGCTACCCTTTCCTTACGACAACAGTATGTGCACACTCCATTCATGTTTGCTTGTCCTAGCTGCAAAACTCACCAATAAATACAGTTTCCCTTCCAAGTGACTTTCTTGTCTGGGTCGCCTCGTCGGAGGCATCCTTTCTCCGGGGCAAAATCGTCTATGCTGCCTGGGACGTGAACGAGTTAAAGGAGTTGCAGTCGGATATTATTGCCCCCGAGGGACAGCCTGGAGGTGGCGATCTGTTCCTGGGCTTCCAAGGGTTTCCTCGGTACATCGGAGGGCGCCCGGTCGGTGCGTTGCCTCACCTCAGCCGTGATATTCCGGCGAAAGACAATCAATGACCAATCAACATGTGGATTCAGTGCTGGTATAGAAGGGACTGGGAACGCGTCTCTCCAGCACACTAGGATTTGTACCAAGCGTCGAAAATATGGCGCAACGGCAGACATTGATAGATAACACTTGGGGGACACTGTAACTCGAGAAACTCTGCACCTTGGCCGGCCGGGCGGCAACTGAGGCCAAACACTCGGCCTCTTTCGGAGTGACCTTAAGTTTGGCCGAACGTCGTTTTCCATCATACGTGTAGTAGATCCGGTGAGTGGCGTGGTACGCGCTGGCGCACTATGCAGCGTCCGTATTGTTGACGAGCTCCGTGATCACAGGCTACAAGAAACCCCACCGTTCCTTGGTTTTCTCTCGGCTTGTTCCACCGGATCTAATAAGGTGGGTGGAGAGGCTCGTTGACGAGGGCATCCATCTTGTAAGTGCCTTCCAGCTCGCTGGTTTTCGGCACGGTGTTGGGACGCTCTGGGAGGTGTCAGACCGGCACTGCGTGGATGTTGCGAGAGTGCTTTACGAGACAATGAGGGACGAAGGGATGACAGACCTGGCGGTCTGCCGAGGACTCCATCGGGCTATTAGGGCTCTACGTGATGGCGACGTTGGGGCGGCATCAATGGGAACGGAAGGCAAGTCTCTCTCGCTTAGACTGCTTCGTTAGAAGTCAGAGCCCGGCCTCCCTCTGCCATGATATGAACATTCCACGGTGCAATCGGTACGGTTGGTGTTGTAGGTGTGTCGGATGGGAGCTTTGTCACGTCAGCATTGTATTACGCCCTTTGAATTGCTCCCGTACCTCTTTTTTGAGCGACAAAACCATCAGCTGAATCTGCATCATAAGGCGGTGCGTCTTGCCATCGAGGTCCGCCAAATCGCAGATGAGGCAGTTGATTGTATCTCGTTTGACTTGAAGGGCATCGTGGATGTCCTCAAGAACTCCTATGGAATTCTCTAGGACAGAGATCTTGTCGTCAAGAGGCACGAGGCAAAAATCACCCATGATCACAGTTGTTAAGTCCGGGCCGCTAATTAAACGTCAAAAAATTGCATCGGAGACCATCAGTGTATTTATACTGGTCGGCACCAGGTATCAAGCGCCCAACCGGTCGGCGGGTGGGTCCCGTCGGTCACGCGGCCTTCCGGACGGGCGGGGTAGAGAGCTATACTTAGCATCACGGACCGACCGGCTGGGCGAGGTTCGACAGCACGGGTCCGAAGTATCTTTGGACGTCCGTGATTGATGTAAATTTAGCAATCATGATATCACTAGTTACAATCCGGGTCACTCAAATGGCGTCATCCGTCCTCCAATGGACCAACTGCTACCCGTTCAAGTCCTATAGCAGCTTGCCGATGTGGCGGCTTGCTTGGCGTCGGGCCACGGCTGCGCCTTTGATCACGATTACATTCTCCAGCGGCTGGGTAAGATCAACGCTCCAATCTCCTGCGGGGTCAACGACACGATAAGCTTGGCCGGAAACCACCAGGATATCCATCAACGGCTCGGTAAGGTCAACGCAGGCGCCGTCATTACCCGTCAAATCGTACGTATCGCCACCAACAGATATGACCTGCCGTTTTGCAGTGATTGAGAATGCCTCCTCGCACAGTTGCAAGAATTCCACTATGCTGAGGCCAAGAGGCATGGCAGGGAGAGGATCCAACATAGACACGTCGGCTGTATTGGAGTTGCCGTCCAGTGACTCGAAATGCTGGGTGTCGTTGAAGAAGAAGTCCCATGAGATGCCGGCATGAGTCTCATCTCGAGAGTGCTCCTGACTCAGAGGTGACAGTTCTCCGTCGACGTCTTCGTCGTACAAGCGCGTACTCGCCATGGCCCAGCCTCGTGACGCATCTGTCGGTGAAAGGCCGGTCGGGCCAGTCGTCATTGCTCGTCTGCCCAGGAGGCGGCAGGTTCTTGAATCACGAGGGATTTGTTACTCAGACAGATCAGCCAGTAGTCTGACTGTGGGATCAATGACAGGAGAAGAATGGACATTCAAGGAAAAGGGGGGGAAGCCGCAGTTATATACATGCCACGAATTCTGCCTGGCCTTAGATACGGCCGGTGCCACGTCAACGGGACGCTTCCGCCCAAGTTGCCTCCCCATGAAGCATCCGTTTTACCCTACCGAGGCCAACTCGGATTCTTCCGCTACCGCAGCGGCCTTCCCATGACCCGAGCCGCCGTCGAACCGCAGCTGGACCTTCCGTCGCGAGCCTTTCCGCGCTGACATTGCCACTCGCTTGTACGTGTCGTACATCACTGACGAAACGAGACGACGTCGCCCGTTCTTCGTCAGACACCCTTGATGTACTCAACCAGATCGCATACTTCCAGCTTTCCTGGCCCTTGCCACCGTCGGGAGGCCGGATTCCAGGTGAAGGCGATGACTTCAGCCAGGTGATCGTCTCCAAGCTCCACCGTTGCGGTCGCTCCTTATATCTTGCACCGGTGGTAACGAGAAGAGCGTTTCGTGTGCCTCGGCCGAAAGACGCGCATGTTCGATCGAGACCGCCCCAAACGCAGGCGGGTGGTGGCACCGTCGCTTGGCGAGGTGGTGGCGTCATGGATCGTGGCTGACCAGTCAAACTCCGATGATGGGAGATCCGCACAACTGCCGCCATCAGATACGAACCTCAAACATCGCTGTGCCCCCGTTGCTGTTGGTCTGGCACAGCGCCCCACAGCATCAGTTGAACAGGCCAGTTCGGGCGTGGGGCGACGCCGTATTGTGACCAGCGGCTATGCTGCAATCTCGTTGGTAGAACTCCCCTCAGTTACACGCATCGACCCTCCTGGCTTCTCGTCACCCTACATCAACAGTCGGCAGCTTGAAACGTCTACGTGGTAGCGAAACAGCATTTGCACTAGCTGCCTGAAGCTGTGCCTCCTCAGAGTGCGCGAAACTTGGCTTCATACTGCAGTGAGCATGTTTAATCCCGAGAACTAAACCGTCGGCTGGAGCTGTGGTACTCACGGAGTACGTTGCCGCACTGCCATGCAGCTAGCAAACTCTTTCCTGGTGCAGCCGCGGTGGTTGAACCTGGTCGTTGACCGCAGTGACAGCCGGAGACCAGCTAGATGGAGATGTCTATTCGCTGTTCGAATATCCACCGGCTGGTCGTGATGACTGAACGGCCTCTCTATAGTTCAACGCCTTAGGCACCATAGCATCGTTGGTGAATGATGGATTTCGCCTGCAGAGCTTCGGCGGCAATGCGTGCAGGGGTGCGGTACCCCACCGCCGCAGGGAAGAGCCGTTGGCGCAGCATTTTCTCCAATCACAGCTCCAGCAGAATGCCAAACCAGCACATTGCTGATTTGTCGCCATTGGTGGTACAGTACATAATCACGTCCACAACCTTTCGCATCCACCCCCAATCCCATCCTCTCCCTCTCCTCCCCATTGCTTCACCTTATAGTGCTGGCGGGAACACCCCTCACCCAGTCATGAAACCCACCATGCCAGAGGAAGCTTGATACTAAGAGTCCTTGTAGCAGATTCCATCATCGCCATCAACCCTACCAATGCCCTGCCACACCTGACTACCAACTAGTCGTTGATCAATCATGTCGGGAATCGAGGTCGTGGGCCTCATCTCCGCAGTCATATCAATTGTCGGTGCGGTCGAGAATATCTACAGTGGCTTCAGGGACGCTTGGAATCTCCCGCGGGCTTTCCGTGAGGTAGCCGAAAAGCTCCCGCTTGTCCGGAAGACTCTCCGAATTGTCGAACAACAAATCCAAAGCACTTCAGATGAGGAGGCATGCGTGGCAATGAAGACAGTTGTGGAGAACTGCAAAGTCAAGGCGGAGCATTTGAAGGAAATTTTCACTACCGTTGCTCCCCCCGAGCCTCCCACCAGGCTCGAACGCTACAGTGTGGCCGTGCGGCGATGGGGCAAGAGAAATCGGGTGGAAGACTTGACAAAAGAGATGATGGAAGACGTCCGACTTCTGGCAATGAATCGTGCAGTCCAAACGGCAACCGAGAATCAGGTTGCGGAGCTCCTCAGGGCAATCAAGGAACTGTCCACCATTGAGCCTTCGCTCCCGGACGAGGACTCTGTCAGCCAGCACCATTCTGGCTCCGGTCACAACATTAGGGGGAATAATTACCAGGGGAATCACAACGTTTTTAGCGGCTCTGGAACTGCAAACTTCGGGGACATCATACACCAGCATAGTACGAACTAGTCATCAAGACCGTCACAGTTTAACTTCACTAATTCGTTGCCTCTTACAGCGACGACTGCAGAATCGATGAACGAGTTGAAAAAGAAAGCATGTCTTCAAGCCCTTTTCCTCACAGATCCATACGAGGACCTGAAGTCCCTGAAGAGAAAGAAGGGCGGTCGTGCCACAGGCACGTGCGAATGGATCTTGGACACTGACCAACTGACCGCTTGGCTTGGCCACGCGGCTGAATCGACATCGCCTCCTACCGACCTACTTTGGCTCCACGGAAACCCAGGAACTGGCAAGTCCACTATGTCCATGTTCCTCGCGGAGGCGCTGTCGGAGGACTTCGCCAAGTCCCGAAACAAGACGCTCGCGTACTTCTTCTGTGACTCGGGCTACGACACACGCAAGACCGCCACGGCGGTCGTCCGCGGGCTCCTCTTGCAGTTGGTGCAGCAGCATCCTCGACTGGTTGACTATGTGTTACCAAAGTACGAGGCGCGCAAGACCCAGGCCTTCGACTCTTTCGACGCCTTGTGGACGATATTTACCAAAGCCTGTGCGGACAAGGTCTCGGGTCGCAAGTACTGTGTAGTGGACGCCTTGGACGAGTGTGAGCTTGAAGAGCAGAGAACACTCCTTAAGCAGATTGAGGAGACATTTGGACGGGATCGATCTGGCGATGCGCTTAACTTTGGCATCCTAATCACCAGCCGACCGTACCCGGAGATCAGGGAGTGCCTGCAAGAATTCCCCAACAAAGACCTTGCAACGTTTGAAAATTCCAGACAAGACATTCACAGGTTTATCAAGGAGAAGGTGGCTGAGTTGAGCAAGAAGAAGAGTTACCCGAGCAGTATGGCGGGTGACGTTACCCAGATACTCCGCAATGGGGCGGGCGGCATCTTTCTCTGAGTCGGATTGGCTTGTCAAGAGTTAGAGAAAGCTGCTTCGAAGGACGCAGTTCGACGGCTGAAGAAGATCCCGAGAGGCCTTAGCTCTATCTACGAACATCTCCTCAAAACAGCACTCAACCAAGACGAGGATCCTGACACGATCAAACAGCTACTAGGATTCGTCATGGTGGCGCGACGCCCTCTTAGCACATGGGAACTTGCCTCAGCATGCCAGCTCTACCAAGACGCAGATTACAACGAGCGCGTTCAGTTTACGAAAGACACTACCGCTGCTTGTGGGTTGATGGTCGTGGTGCAAGACGACAAGGTGTTGTTGTTGCACCAGTCAGTAAGAGACTTTCTGGTCAGTGAGAACACCTGCGCCGTCTACCGCGAGACTCTGTGCTCGGCGCAGCTGTGACTTTACGAGCTGTATCAGCTTGTGATACCAGTGAGCCCGTTATCGCCGCGCCGTTGTCGGAAGAACCTGCCCTTATAGATTTTGGCCGAGAATATGGTGCGCTCTGTCCCAACATTTTCACGTGCGGTAGGCTTTGCTTGACTTCTCTAGATAGGGCTTTGCGCTTTGTTATGAAGCTACGGAGATATCCCAGATGCCCGTGGCAATGCTCGTAGAACCTATTGGTAGCGTGCAGAGCGAGGGTGCGCCCGATCCTTACAACTGCGTTTAGAACGACAACGTTGGCCATTCCATCATCGTATTGTTCATGGACAGCCGTCCCTGTTCGCCCGCCTTGGTAGCCTTCTGTCCCCAAGCTGCTTCAAAGCGGTTTGTATACGGTCGACTAGGTACTCCCTGAGACGTACGAATCGGCCTAGCCTACGATGACGAATGGATGTGATCTCGGGACGCAGCTCCTGTCGAACGCTGGCCAACATTTTTCGGCGGCATCGTGCCTCTAGTCGTAACGTCAGATTTGTACCCCGGGATCGTCAAATAACCCACCATATTCTCGGATATCATTCCAAGCTTCCTCTTCCGTATTGTTCACTCTTGATCGTCCGGGGTTTCCGCAGTGCTGACAGTAGAACCAAGGCCAGGGTGTTGCGCGACGTCGTGGGCCCCTTTGGTCTTCAGACGTGTCTAGGACTTATATGACGCTGCTGAAACCCCAACGCAGACGTGAGGATTGTTGCGCTGTCCAGTTTTTTGTCCTTGGTCCACTACTAATTGGTGGTACGACGGTATATAAGGAACTATCGGCGATCGAAATTGAGCTTGGGGGGTGGGGGGCGGACGGTATATCCTATGGCTCTTTAGGGAGCAAACTCGAACTGCCCAGGGGCTGGTCCGTGAGGAAGGCTTGTCGGCAGGTAGGTGATCTGTGTGGCCGAGACCACGATGGAATGCAATGATTGTCGCCATCCTTAGCGTTGAAGGCCGCATCATCAGAGGTCCATCAGCTCATGCCTGAAATGGCCGTGATGACGAGGCGGACCATCCTTACCTGGGCGACCTGAGCGGCCCCTGACACATCCCACCCCTCGCGGACATGATGGGTCGGCTGCATGGCTCTATTGAGACATAGAAGCGTCTGCATTTGCCTGCAGCACGCTTGGACACTCCCTGTCCTATGAACCAACCCCCTTTGTCTACCCAGCTGATGATCCAGCCTGGATGGCCGGTTTCTTCCCGAGGGCAACTTCTCTACGCGATCCGGACCCACATCGCCGCGAAAGTCGGCATCGACCTCCACCAAATTTGACGAGCCTTGATCACTCCAAAAACCACGTACAGACGGTGCACGGCGTGAGGCTTAGAAAATGATCGACGCAGCAGGGCATGAGGAAATGGTGCTATAGTGCAAGCTTTGGGAGAACAGAGGTGCTCTGCAGTGACGACTTGAAGCTGGTTTGTTATTCTCTTAGACCCGTAGTAAAGATGAAATCTAGCTGTCTTCGTCGTTCGTGTGACCATGAAGTGATCGTTCGTGAGTGCTCCCAGGTTCGACAAAGCCGACAGAGCGCGTTTCTTGCGGCCACACTGGCCATCCATTGGATCATAGGGTTGCCCAGAAACTAAGAATGCAGGCGATCGCGAGGTAGCATCGCTATAGTGGTTTTGGTCATGCATAGGGTACGCTAGGTAAGGAGACCAGCCATCTCATCTGTTGATAACAAAGCGGGGTACGATTTCATTTGATTGATTTCACTGCTGTGGTGAAAAAGTTAGGCTCGACAGCGGGTTTATACGCCTGGCGAGAAGCAGAACAACTGAACCCGACCTGTTCCACAGCCGATGCCCACCATCCCTCCCAATACAGCAGCACACCGCGGACGGTATTCCGATGGCAGCCAGACCTCGTTCTGACCGTTGCGAGTAATCCAAGACCTATCCGGGTTCAAGCCGTAGCCGTGCCACTTGGGATCCTGCTGTCCAGGGACCGCACATCTGACTGAAGAAGTGGCAACGGTAGCAGTAGCCTCAATAGTGTGGGGCTGAAAGGGTGGTTCTATATCAAGATGCCCAACTTCAGTAAGCAAGTAGGAACCACTGCGATGGAATGACAGATTTGCTAGCGAAGTGCCTGCGTCGAAAGTCTGTCGGCACCTGCCCGTGGATGCATCCCATATCTTGACGGCTCCGTCACCCGAAGCCGAAGCGAGTTGCCGGCCGTCGACTGAGAAGGCGACTGAATGGACCCAATCGTCATGGCCCTCGAGAGTTTGGACGCATTCTCTAGCGGCTGCATCCCAGATCTTCACGATGCTATTATTCGAAACTGAAGCTAGTCGCTGGCCGTCGGCCGACAAGGCGACTGAACCTACCTGATCGTCGTGGCCCTCGAGCGTCTGGACGCATTTTCCCATGGCTATATCCCAGACCCTGACAGTTCTATCGTACGAAGCCGAAACAAGCCGTTGGCTATCGGCCGAGAAGGCGACCGAGTAGATCCTGTCGTCGTGGCCCTCGAGCGTCTGGACACATTTTCCCATGGCTATATCCCAGACTCTGACAGTTCTATCGTACGAAGCCGAAGCAAGCCGTTGACTATCGGCCGAGAAGGCGACCGAATAGATCCAGTCGTCGTGGCCCTCGAGCGTCTGGATACATTTCCCTGTGGCCGCATCCCAGATCTTGGCCGTTCTACCAGACGAAGCCGAAGCGAGTCGCTGGCCATCGGCCGAGAAGGTGACTGAGAATACTCGACCACTATGGCCCTCGAGCGTCTGGACACATTTTCCTGTGGCCGCATCCCAGATCTTGGCCGTTCTATCAGCAGAAGCCGAAGCGAGTCGCTGGCCATCGGCCGAGAAGGCGACCGATAGGACCCAATCGACATGGCCTTCGAGCGTCTGGATGCATGCATTCCAATCTTCTTCCATAGACAGTTTCGTTTGGATCCAGTTAGGCTCTTCTTCTTTGAATAGCTCTTTTACCAGGCTGTGTGCTGGACTAAACAGGAGGGCTGATACGTAAGCTTGGAGTGGAGCATTCTCTATCATCCACTTGTGAGACAGAATGAATCGGCGCGCATCTCGTGCAAGGTCTAATAATCGCCGTTCCCGAGTGTATCCCTGAATATATGTCAGCCACTCTAACTCAGACATTGCTACATGTCGTTAATCGAACACTCACTACCAACGACTCGAGCTTCTCCATTGCAATGACACCTTCTGGGATATGTCGGAGTAGGCTGAGAGCTTCGAGCCAGTAAAGGAACTTTCTTTTGAGGAAGGTGTAGACTCTGTCATCACCCAGTGCGTCGTCCTGTGCCGTGTCCCTGCCAGAAATCGAGTCCAAGAGGTGGTCCACCCAGTATACACAGGAGTACACCGCCGCAGCCAGTGGATCGGGGTCTGGCGGCCCGACGTCGTCAATCAGGACTCCCAGTGCGCTTAAGTTATACATGTTGCGTCGTAGGGTCTTATGCATGATCTGCAGCGATCGAGAGTATATTGCATGGTGACTACCGAGAGCACCGGAAGGGAAGACTATGCTCGATGCCTCACCAGAAAGGAAGTCCTTGGCCGACTGGTGAACAAGATAGACTCGGTCGTCTCGGACTGTCAGGAATGAGCCGCACATAGCTACAATCTCTCGGACGTTTTCCGTTTTCGCTGAAATCTGGTTCGGTACGCCGGATAAGACGGCAATCTCAGCCAAGTGAAGCGGACGATATGCGACGCTCGCGGTAGACAGCATGAGCCGGCAAAATTCCGCGTCCCTTTGAAGTAGTTGGATCTGCTTCAGCATGTGATGGTATAGCTCTATCAGGCCCGCCGGCACATCTTCGACTACCTGTAGAATGTGCCAGCTCTTGGCCTTTTGGAGCTCGTGAACGACGAGAGCCACCCAGAGGAACGTGTCATTGGCTTTCATGTGGAGAATAGCCCGTACTTTATCTCCCAGCGTTTCGTCGCCCTGTATCGATTCGAGGTGGGACACCTTGTCATCGATATAGATATCGACGGCGCGGGATATCTGTTCGGCATTTTCTTTGAGCTCGAGACTCAACCTCGTCCGAGTACCATCGCACCTCAGTTTCTGCTTAATTTCTGGATTATTCCGACTTGAGAGGAGCCACTTCACCTTTGTCGATGAGGAGCCTTGGACGATAAGGTCCAGGAGTTCTGGCAAGTTTGTCATGCATTCGTCGAGTGCGTCGATGACGAAGTAGGCCGTCTCCAGACCTGGGTCTCGCAGAATGCTAATAAAGATTTTGACTAGGGCGTCCCAGGTGTTCGCATCTTTGAAGACGGTTTCGCCTGCCCGATCGTACTCCATCCGAACGTGGGAGATGAGAGACGGTTGCTGGTCAACGAGCAGGTAGATCAGGCCCCGCACCACATCAGTGGCATTATTGATACGAACGTTGGTGCCTTGGCAGAAGAAAAACGACAGAAGCGAAGGCGGACTTGACTTTTTCAGCTCGTCGATGATGCCGCAGAGCAGCATCGTCTTGCCTTTGCCTGGATCGCCGTTGATCCAGAGGAGCCGGCTCTCGGGCTGGTCACGCCATCGTTTGAAATCATGGTTGTCGAGGATCCAACGATACGAGTCATGCAAGAGGCCGCCTTTGGTTCGCTCGATGCGAGACTTGTCGTGGCGAGGATCGCTGAGGCGCAGGTGTCGGAGACATTGCTGATCTTCTTTGGATATTTGACTGCGAAGCCGCCCCCGAAGGGTCTGGTAAATGTTTTCGAGTTTTGCTTCCTGGTTCTTCGCATGCAGTTGGGTCTGCTGGTTGCCATACATGTTGATATCCTGCATGAGAACTATCTCCGCGTCTCGGATGGCCTGCAAGCTGGCTTGCCAGCCCTCAAGCTTGATTACGCTGCGTAAGAAGACGAGGCCACGGTTGCGAAAGTACGAACAGACGCTCCTCATCTGGTATAGCAGAAGTAATTTGTAGAGGTCGACGATCCGCTTCTCTAATTCACAACCAACACCAGATAGGGTGCCACCGTCGATGGTATTTTCGCCAAAGAGAAGACTGGATAAGCTCCAATACCAGTCCATTCTGGTGGCAACGTAGATGATGCCATTGCGGTTAGTTTCGGTCTCTTGGCTAGGGTTGGCAAGCATCTCCAGAAGTTAGCACGCGAAGGGCGGCCTTGCGGACTGACTCACCTCAAGGGCAATAATGACGCCAGACCAGGGCAGAGCAGCTTGAGGCACGGCCTGGATTGCCGAACTGATGATCTCCTTTGCATACAGCACAACATCCATGGCAGCGCCTACTCCCTCTTTCACTCTGGACTTGGGCACCGTTTTTTGCAGACCGACGTCGACGAGCCGCTTCATCTGATCTCGCCTCGCGGCCGGGTCGTGCTGGGCGATGGCGTTTTGTTGTGACTCGGATGATGTGGAATCAACAGTGTCTTTGTGAAGTTCACGAGACAAGACCTTCTCATACGCCTGCACGAGGGCATGCTCTTGCTCTTTGAGGTGGTCGTAGGCTCGATCCCAGAGCCTTTCTGGTAGGCAAGTTATTTTGCCATCCGCATTGGCAGACGTCATCACGTCCGCCCTATCGCTCCCAGGCTCTCTATCGACTGACTCTGCGGACGTGCAGGTGGCAGTGGGGACTTGCCGACCGTCTTTCCGAGCCGGTGATGCAACAGACGGGCTGACGGCAGTACCCCGCACGCAGCGGGCAGTTTGCTCAGTCAGATCCTCCTGATCTGTCGCATTGTCATGTCGGCAGAGGAGCTTCCGGATGGAAGATAGCAGTCGCCGAGGCATGGTAGCCACGGGAAGGATAGTCTTAAACGAGAGGCTCAAGTGATGCAGCAGTTCTTGCTCCTCAGATAATTGTCATCGAGCCCGAGAGAGCCTCGTTGCGTGTGATGTCACAAGGTCCAAGGCGTCTTCGGTCATGGATTGTTGGAGAGATGGTCGTGTGGTCGAATCTCAGGGCTGAAAGATTTTGTCGACTGAAGCCCAGACCAACGCTGGCAACAAAGGGTTGCCGTGACACTGGGGGGTCCGCCGGTGTGCTGGCATGGGGCTGAATGGTGGGCTAACTCGAGTTGCGCCTCGATATCCACAGCAAGGCGTCCAGCAGCGCTTAGCCGTCCCTGTTGGGATAGTAAGCTTTCGCAGGATCGGCGGTTGTGGCGCAGCGTTCGCCCCGGAACCTGGCAGCGACTGGCTCTCCTCGGTTGGTCTCAGAACGCGGTACATTCAACCCCCGGCAACGAGTTCTGGAGAGCAGCCTGTTGGTCACCTTTGACGTCCATCGTCACGAGTGTGGCGATGTTTGAGCGCGAAAGCCTCCTCGATTCGTGAAATAACGCGGCAACAAGGTCTACAGACATCAAGTTTCAAGAACTGGCGAGCTCGCGTGGAAATGTACGGGTCCGATGGATCCCAGGGCATACAAGTATACCGGGCAATGAGGAGGCTGACGGCCTCGCCAAAGCAGGTTGTCTGCTGCCCGAACCATCAGGGGTCATGCCATCGCTGGCCCACCTGCGCCGACTTGCGGAGTGCAGCAATCGAGAGACGCCTTCAAAACTTGGTGGTCGACCGAAGCTCCAGAGTCGTACAAGCCTCTCAACCTCGAGGCGACCACCAGCTGCCCTCCGGAGCTCACGCTCCCAAGAGCAACGCTCCACGGCCTCCTCGCGGCGAGATCTCGCCACGGAGACTTCGCCGACTACCACGAGCGATTCAATCATGACGACGCGCGTCTTGACTGCTCATGCGGACGACGCAAAGCACCAGAGCACCCGTTCTTCTGCAGGAAAGTACCGCCACGGCTCTGGATGAGGCTTGCCCCCTCACCGGCCGAAGCGATACGTCGTGCAGTAGGCAAGGGCTTCAAAGCCTTCGTCGAGATGACGTCGGAGAGCTCCTTCTTCCAAAGGATCTGTCCACGCCATTAGGCGAACAGCACTCTCTTTCTGTCTTTCTTTCTGTCTTGTTTTTGTGTTTCTCCAATTTTGGTCGCGGTCGAGCGAAGGGCGCTGCAACGCCGTCACTCGGCCGAGGCCCTCCACTCTGGCTGCAACGTGTAGCTGGAGAGGAAACACCTTCCCAGACTCATCGCAAACGATGAGCGACGACAGCGACGTATCGTTGCATGCAACTCTACATCCCGCGGACGGCTGTGAGGCTCCGACGAAAGAGCGCCTTGAGCCGATGAGATGCTAGATGGTGTTTGTTTTGAAACGAGGACGCGTTGGCGAAACTGCAGGGCGGCCGAAATGAGCGCCACTGGTGCCTAAGGCAGCCACAACTCAGTGCCTGCTAACCTGGACCTACGCACGAGTCGGAAGCGGACGACACTGCAATCGATTTGAACGCTTTTTATAAAACAATCAGCAGCCTAGCACGTCCTTTGCCCCAATAGGGGGCTTTAGCTATTACTCTCGCTCCCTGACGTTAAATATTTATCGTATCGTATCAGGTGGCTCTGCGCCGCCAACGCCTCCGCTGGCAGGCCGCCCGGGTATTTAAGCAGCCGGCGATATCACTAGTGCCGACGCTTCCGACGCCTGGTGTGGGCCGAAGCATTGCGCAACCCTTGGCGACCAATCCGTAGCCATTTTTGGCGCGTTGTGGGACCTGGGCCGGCCTTGCCAGGCACCCCGAGCCCCGTCGACGACATGGTGTCGGCCCCCTTAGGACTTGGCGGGAATCCTCCAATACATGGGACCGACCTGAAGCGCCGGGCGTACCTTAAACCCCCGTCAGCGGCTCCACTGAGGGGATTAAGGGCCTCTGGGCACCCACTCGCCGCGGGACCGGCCCGCGTTGCCTTGACGCCACCGGTAAGAAGGGCGGCACAATGGCGCGCTCTGGTGCCATGTTGCCTGCCCTGTGCCTGGAATTGAGGTGGGTCGTCGCTCATGCCCGTTCATTTTGACTTTTGCCAATGCATGCTCCAACCTAGTTTCATTCGCTATAATGAAGTGTCCAACGCTGCCTCGGGACGAGGTTCCCCTCGCCTGGCTGCTCTACTCTGGGTGAGCGGTACGGAGTACTGTGGTATTGCCTGCCGCAGGACGTTTGCAGTGATCCTCCCGGTCTGCACGTGCAGATCCACCACCACCTTTGATGTTTCACATCACATCATGCCGAATATTGGTTGCATAAAATGCGAGCGAGTTTTCCTCGCACCTATTTTCCAGTCTGGGGTTAAACACCTGTTGCAAAGGCGTGATCAGTGGCCTGATATTCTGGCCATGCCTTGAAGGCGTCTCTGGGATGCTGTCTGGCCAATCGGCGAAGGTGTGCCAGTGATGGCATGACTCCCGGCGGCTGAGGCCGCAGGCATCCAGCTTTGGCGAGGCCGTGTCGCATCTTCTCCCCTTGTGCGGCCGGCTGTAGTAAGACGGGTCTTGTTGAGAAAATGCCAGGCCACGAAACGTCTGGCAAATCGCATGTGACAAGACTAGGCAGGTAGGTGGCATGCAAGCCATAAAGCCATGTCGAGTCGTAAGGCGGCGATTCTACGCCCGGAGGTTGTTCCAGTAACGTTTCCTAGCGGTCACGGCGTCCTTGTCGCCGACGAAGCGGTGCTGGAAGTAGTTGAAGACTGCGAACTCTTCTCGGGTCATGATGTGGCTATCTGGCCTGGCTTTGACCTTGCCCCAGATATGTGACAATGCGTGCTCCAGGATCTGGCTGACCATCGGGTCAGAGGCGCTGTCGGGGATTTCGCGAGCAATGTCGAGCGCCTGGGCAACCTCCGCGTCCTGCGGGGTCATCGACGGCACATTGGAGCCGCCCATGGTGCTCAAGGGCTGGTGACTCGGCACAGGAGACTCGTGCTCGCGGTGAGGCATCGGGGCTGCAAGGTGTCTCTGGGGGTGACGGGTATGGGCGCAAAGGGGATGTTGCCGTTAGGGTTGGCTTCGTGGTGGGATTGCACCGGTGGTGGTGCTGGCTGTATCGACGGGGCTGCTCTTGGATTTCCTGCGGATGGACAGACAAGAGGGAATGTGAAGCAGCGATTGACGATTGCGGGCCGGTTATGTATTTATGTGAGCAGGGTGGACTCGGCTGGAGGAGGGCGTGTGGTATAGGTCGGCCAAGTGGGCTAGGAAGGCAGGCACAGGTGAGTAGGGAGGGAGGAGGGGCGCGGATACGCAGGGAGAGCATGGTGAGTACGTGCGCGACGGCAAACAGGCCCTGCGAGGCAACGACCGGGCCCACACCATCCACCCGGGTAAGAGTAATGTGTAGGCCCGGGATGTGGTGCGCAGAGAAGACGGTTGCAACAAGGAAAGAATCCAAGGGCCGGAGGAGTGACCGAGGCGAGGAACAGAGTGAGGGCTTGTGAATGGGACGGCAGGTATAATCCCCAGCCGTTGTCGTCGCTTCGAAGCGGATGAGAGAGCCACCGTAGGTCGCCTACAGCTGCTGGTCGACTTGGCGGGCGAAGGGCAAGCAGAAGACAAGCGGTATCTATGTGCGTTGCATGTGCCAAGAGCAAACCAGATCAGACATCATGTATGCATCTGCTGCGGCTGGGTCCTGCGTAAGGCTCCCAAGTATGAGACTCATCCCTACACTTTGCACCAGCATCCCGACATTCGCCACAAATCAGCAGTCGTCCGCCATCACATTCTGTACACCTGGAAGCACTGGACATGCCATAAATGGAGTACCTTGTGCATACATCGCAATAGCACATGTTGGGCAGTATCTTCTTTGCCCACCAGGGGGTCTCCCACCCAACGTTCGACATGCTGGACTTGCCGGTGAGTATAGTCTGAACTGCGTCCTCGTGTCCGTTTCTCTCCGCCGCCACGATAGGCATCGTCCCAAAGAAGTCTTTGATGTTGCCTGAGTGGTCCGCCTGAGCTCCACTAAGGCCAGCGTTGTTGACGTTGCCATCCCTGTCCGAGCAGAGAAGAAAGGACAATATGTCACAGCGGCCGCGTATTGCGGCGTGGAAGAAGGGCGTGCGCCCATTGTTGTCTCTCCTGTAGATGTCCGAAACTTTGGAGAGTAATTTGAAAATGGTGAAGTGGCCGTTGCTTGCCGCTAAATGTGCTAGCGTACGGCCAACGGCGTCCAGGACAGCGGTATTTGCCCCGTGCTTGAGGAGTAGCTCGACAACGTCAGTCCTCCCGTTAATTGTAGCAGCCTGGAGAGCTGTGTGTCCACTTATAAGTGTCGCTTCCACATTGGCACCGCTGACAAGAAGCTCTCTGGCGGTTTCCACGCACCCTTCACTTGATGCCACGATCAATGGTGTGAACCCGTTCACATCGGTGTCCTCGATCCTTGCTCCATAACTCATAAGAACCTCGACAAGTTTAGCATCAAAGTTCGCCGCAGCCACGTTGATGAGGGGCTGCAGCGTTGGATCTTCATCAGAGAGATCGGCTCCATGTTCCAGCAATATCTCAGCAATCCGAACGTTTCCGACCTCGCAGGCCACCCGCAGATGAGATATTCCTCTAGGAGAGAGTGCCTTGATATCCGCTCCATGCTCGAGAAGTACCTTGACGGCGGCAGCCGCCATCTCCCGCTCCACAGCATGTGCCAGTGGCGTCCACCCATCATCGGTCCGGGCCTCGGTGTCGCCGCCATTCATTAGAAGCAGGCCGAGTACTGAAGCATGTCCAGAGAAGGCGGCGATATGTACTGGTGAAACGTCGATGGCACTTGCTACGCTCGTGCCGCGCCCGAGCAGCATCGATACGACTTCACAATGTCCCGACATTACTGCTTTTTCGAGAGGAGTTATGTCGTCGCTATGTGGATCTCCCAAGCGAGAACCTGCATCTAGCAACAGCGTCGTAGCTTCCAAATGCCCATGGCCTGCGGCCACGTTGACTGGCGTCATTCCGTCACGGTCTCTGACCGAAAGGTCGGCCCCGTGGTCCAGAAGCAGCGACATGTCTTCGATATTGCCGCTCTCTGCCGCCATGCACAATGGCGGCTTCCCGTCGCAGCCATTCGGTAGGTTGACGTTGAATTCATTTTGTCCCAGCAGCCACTGGAGCACAGTACTCTGACCAAAACGTATTGCAATTGGGAGGAGCATGGGGTCATCTCCTAGACGAAGCCCGAAAGTCAAAGCCCGCCGAACAGTATCCAATCGTCCACGCTTGATGGCCCACCGCAAAGCGGTATCATCTTTAAAGTGATCCCCTGTCGACAACGCCTCTTCCAGGTAAAGAGACTTGATCAAGACACGGTGAAAATGCCGACCCGTTTGGATCAAAGCATTGACGTCTCGTTTGCCCAAATACTCAGCAATATTTTCGAGAATTTCCGGCGGAAATTTTGTCAACGCCATCGTGACTTTTGGATGTCAGAAGAGCTTGCCAGACCACCTAGAGTNGGATGTCAGAAGAGCTTGCCAGACCACCTAGAGTCTGTCTCTTATACACATCTAGATGTGTATAAGAGACAGCGTTGATGAGGGGCTGCAGCGTTGGATCTTCATCAGAGAGATCGGCTCCATGTTCCAGCAATATCTCAGCAATCCGAACGTTTCCGACCTCGCAGGCCACCCGCAGATGAGATATTCCTCTAGGAGAGAGTGCCTTGATATCCGCTCCATGCTCGAGAAGTACCTTGACGGCGGCAGCCGCCATCTCCCGCTCCACAGCATGTGCCAGTGGCGTCCACCCATCATCGGTCCGGGCCTCGGTGTCGCCGCCATTCATTAGAAGCAGGCCGAGTACTGAAGCATGTCCAGAGAAGGCGGCGATATGTACTGGTGAAACGTCGATGGCACTTGCTACGCTCGTGCCGCGCCCGAGCAGCATCGATACGACTTCACAATGTCCCGACATTACTGCTTTTTCGAGAGGAGTTATGTCGTCGCTATGTGGATCTCCCAAGCGAGAACCTGCATCTAGCAACAGCGTCGTAGCTTCCAAATGCCCATGGCCTGCGGCCACGTTGACTGGCGTCATTCCGTCACGGTCTCTGACCGAAAGGTCGGCCCCGTGGTCCAGAAGCAGCGACATGTCTTCGATATTGCCGCTCTCTGCCGCCATGCACAATGGCGGCTTCCCGTCGCAGCCATTCGGTAGGTTGACGTTGAATTCATTTTGTCCCAGCAGCCACTGGAGCACAGTACTCTGACCAAAACGTATTGCAATTGGGAGGAGCATGGGGTCATCTCCTAGACGAAGCCCGAAAGTCAAAGCCCGCCGAACAGTATCCAATCGTCCACGCTTGATGGCCCACCGCAAAGCGGTATCATCTTTAAAGTGATCCCCTGTCGACAACGCCTCTTCCAGGTAAAGAGACTTGATCAAGACACGGTGAAAATGCCGACCCGTTTGGATCAAAGCATTGACGTCTCGTTTGCCCAAATACTCAGCAATATTTTCGAGAATTTCCGGCGGAAATTTTGTCAACGCCATCGTGACTTTTGGATGTCAGAAGAGCTTGCCAGACCACCTAGAGT